TTAATCGGAAACACAGCTGGGAATATTTGGTTTTAATTCGGCTTTTATCAGGGTTATTCTTTTGTATTTTTGTATTGTGTATCTTCTGTATTTTGGGTATATTATTTGTTTTTAATATGCTGTGAACCGCCCTGAGTCCTATGGGAGAAGGGCGGTATACAAATTAAAATAATAAATAAATAAATAAATAAATAAATAAGGCAGTGGTTCTCAACCTGTGGGTCGGGACCCCATTTGGGGTCGATCGACCATTTCACGGGGGTCGCCAAGCAAGGCTGTCCGCCATTTTTTTTGTCCGCCATTTTTTTCCCCTTTTCTGGCGGTTGCCTTACCTCCCTTGGGCTGGGCCAGCTGGTGGTCGGCCTGCTCCGTCTCTGCCGCTTGCCAACTACGCCTCAGCCGGCGCAGGGGGCGGAACCACGCATGCGCGGCGCTCCCAGGCAGGGAAAGTCCTTGACTTACGACCGGTTGGGTAGTCCTCGACTTACGACCGGTTTAGTCCTCGACTTATGACCGGTTGGGGTCACGGCATTAAAAAGGTTGAGAACCACTGCTTTAAGGAACCCCTAAGGAGAAAACTACCCCTCCCCCCCAAAATTTGTGTTCTTATTAACATGTTCACTTACACTGATAATGTTACTGAGTCTGGTGAACCCTCTGCAAGCAAACAAGTTCAGAGAGCAAAGGAACTCCACAGTTCAGTCCTGAGCTACTGATATTCTCTTTTATTAGATTGCACTTTCTGTTCCTTTTAGCAATATTTTTGCTTTTGGGTTTTCTAGCAATCTGAATGCATCTGTCCTGTTTGAAGCTGATTGCACGACCTTTTTTGCAAGCACCGCCCTTGATTGTTCAGCCTTTGCGCTTCATCATGGATCTGAAAGACCTTGTTACTTCCTTAAATGATTTTGCTTCACTTTCCCTGGCTGAAAGTTGGGATAATGTGGGGCTCTTGGTTGAGCCAAGTCCTCCTCATATTGTCAATACCCTTTTTCTCACCAATGATTTAACTGAAGATGTGATGCAGGAAGCCCTAGAGAAGAAAGCAAACCTCATTCTTTCTTATCACCCACCCATTTTCCACCCACTGAAACGGTTAACGTGGAAAACATGGAAGGAGCGTCTGGTAATCCGAGCCTTGGAAAACAGAGTTGGCATTTATTCTCCTCACACAGCATATGATGCTATACCTAATGGAGTCAATGACTGGCTTGCTACAGGACTGGGTGAGGCATTCTTGTCAGTAATTACGCTATACATAAAATAAGAATCTATGAGCACAAGCCAAACACAAAGTAGATAATAACATTATATGTTTTAAAATGTTATGTTTGTACTCTTGCTAGCATTTTACATTATATAGTTTCTATTGAAATGTGTCAGCAGAAGGACTATGTTAGATAAATAAAATCTTTGTTGCTGTTTAGGAGGGAAAAAGGCAAGTAAAGACAGAATGGATATTATTTTAAACCAGGGCTTTTCAACCTTTTCACCCATTGTACCATTTTTAGGATATGCCAACATCCGAGTACCACCAGTCGCCTAGCAAGGTGTTAAAAACTTGATGACCCCCCCCAAAAGGAAAAAAGTGATGAAGTACAGGTAGCCCTCAACTTACAACAGTTCGCTTAGTGACTGTTCGAAGTTACAATGGCACTGAAAAAAGTGCCCCCCAAGCCACAGCCCAGCAAGACACCTGCCTGCCCACCCGGTGGCGCTCTTCCTCCTGTCTGAGGTTTTCATTGTTGTAAGCATTTCTGTTGAGGATTGGCAGCGGGGATGGGGTGGGGGGTGTTTGGTTTTTATTCCCCCCATCTGCTGGGTGGTTGCAGCAGGTTTTGGTCACTTCACATGACCCTGGGACACTGTGACCATCATAAATATGAATCAGTTGCCAAGCATCTGAATGTAAATCACAAGACCCTGGAGGGGCTGCAACATTCCAGCTGATCGGTGCGTCTTCTGGGCTCAGCAGAAGCACCAGGATCAGCGCCAAGCTCCAGCTGGAGCCTGGCATTGATCCTGGTGCTTCCACTGAGCCCTGACAGCCCTGCAGCTCCAGCCATCTCTCGCTCAGCCTTGTGCAGTGCTGCCACCGGTTCAGCTCATTCTCCTCCCCCGCTACCACTTTTCTAGGATGGTCACATACCACCTGCCAGGTACCAATGTACCACAGGTGGTACCCGTTCCACTGGTTGAAAAGCCCTGTTTTAAACAATGAAAAAATACGAGACTGAAGTATATATTCACATCCAACTACTATTTATAGGGAGTTCCTCTCTCCCTATCTTGAAGTACCATACTATCAGCCCCACTAAAAAATTGACACCTTTTTAAAGGACTGATGTGAAACAGCTCTTTTAATTCTACTACTTCAGATTCATGAAATAGGGCAATCCAAAGAGAGTACTTATGTCTCAATATTCTGTGCACAAATAGTATGCACATATAAATGGCCAAAAGTCCAGAACCTATTATGTGGGTCTATGTGAATCATAAACATTCATGATCAGGAATTCTAAGCAAAAATGTAGCAGGTTGCTACAGGAATTAAAGATACCTGTCACTCCTCTTTGCAAGTGTGATTTAAAAACAATTGTAACTTAGTAGTTTTTCAGCTCTGCGGTATTTTCAGCATTGTAGCTAATTGCTGTATTTAGTATTCAGCCCCCATTATAATCTTATGAAGAATTAAAATATTCATGTATTAACGATAATATTGGTACACTGCAATAAACCTCAACTTTCAGTAAGTTAACAACAATATACCGGGAACAATGTTATGGAAGGCATGTAATTTGATGGTTGGCAAGGTAAAACTTGGACAAGAGTATTGTGCAAATCATTTAATTTACTCTGGTTTTTTTCAGGCGCTTGTACTTCTGTTCCTCTGAAACCGGCTACAGCTTCCACTTACCCTGTAGGTGGGCCTTTCCGGGTTGAATTCAGTGTAGCTTCTGCTGAAAGTCTGGAAACGGTTTTATCCCAAGTCCATGCAATGCCAGAGGTGTCACTCATTGCAACTCAACCTGCCAGGTATTGCTGGAGACCACCCTAGGTTATTTTCTTTCACCAACAAGTTTCAATGTGATAAAAGAGCAGGTTCTTTATCTGTGACCAGACAACATTTTTGAGAATGTATAGGAAGAAAGTAATACACATTATTTAATTGTGCTAAAAGGCACTGTACTTTGAATCCTCCCACTTTGGATTATACAGAAAATATGTGATAATGGCTTAAACAGCTTGCAAAAATATTCTAACTTAATCCAGTAACTTTAGCCTATTTCAGAAATATCAAACTAATAAGTTTTGATTTCCACGCAATAACAGATTTTTACTTTAAGATCATACTCAAAGAAACCAGTGTTTTTTCCAAGTATTAGATGTACATCTGATGAGATGTGCTACTTTGTATTACATTTCAAGTCAAATAAATTCATCGAGAGCTAGGATTTCCCAGCATTTTTAAGACCACTATGACTACTAGGGTGCATAATAAATTATAAGCATAAGCTTATTGCTCCATGCCATAAACAAAGAAGCAACCCCTTCCCATGCCAGACTGTTTATTTCTCTAGCCAAATATTGTCTAATCTGATAAGAGTGGCTCTTTACAATTAGCCAAAAATACCAAGGATTAAATTTGCAACCACAATTATAGAAAGCACAATGATATGCTTTGGTCCTATGTTTTTGGGTGGTGGGTCACAGTTTTAATTAATTATATACTGTCTTTATTATTTTTATAAATAAGTCAAGGCGGCAGACATACATAATATTCCTTCCTCCTATTTTTCCCACAACAACAGCCCTATGAAGTGGGTTGGGCTGAGAGAGAATGAGTGGCCCAAAGTACCTTTAGAACTTGGAATCTCCTAAGTTGTAGCCTGCTTCTTTAAACAGTGTACCAAACTGGCTCTCACTGATAAAATGTCCAGTTCCCTATCTGGGATCTTGGTGCTGAAGTGGAACAGGACAGATAAGCAAAGACTACATACACCAAACACCTGAGAACACAGGAAGGAGCTCCATAGTCTCTAAGGACTATGCTTGTGAATTAGGTCCATTCCCACACTCATCACACATTCATCTCCAAAAACGTGGCCTTTACCCCGCAAAAGTGACCCACTCTTCCCCTTCCACGTAAGCTGAAGCCACAAATAGATGGAAATGAGAGTAGCATTATCTGCCTTAGTGTTCTATCCTTGTTCAAAACTATGAATGGCATCAACCAGCATTTTCACATAGCTGCCAGATGACTTGACAGGCGGCATAAGTCCTGCTTAAAGTTACCTGCCAAAGGTTGTGAATGACTGGGGGTGGTGGGATGGGGATGGTTTGTGCATGATTACTAAAGGCAGTACATTTTGTGATCCGCTCATGTGAGAGAACTGGAGGTAACATTTATATATTATTCTCCAACAGCATATTGTAAGGGTTTTTTAATTAATATTTCTGTTCCAAATTTCCAAGAATTGAAGGAGAAGAACAAACACGTGTCAGCTTGAACTGTTCTCAGCTAGCTTTGTTGCAAGTGGTGGCCTTGCTTTCCCAGAAGAGCCTGCTGTATCAAACAACTGAAATCATATCACTACAGAAGGTAAACCACAGATAAACAAATCAAAGTTTATTTTCACAGAGTGTGCAAAGCTGCAAAAAGAATAAACGAAGATGTAGTAACGTGACGGAGGAAGGTTGCTTATATCTTAGCAAGGAAGCGAAAGAAATTACTTAGCAAGATGTTCTGTTTCCAGCAGAAATAAAAGATACAGCTGCAGTTTCCTAGCAAGAGCCCTGATGGCTCAGTGGTTAGAATGCAATACTGCAGGCTGCTTCTGCTGACTGCCGGCTGTCAGCCCTCCATTCTTCTGAGGTCAGTAAAATGAGGACCCAGATTGTTGGGGGCAACATGCTGACTTTGTAAACCGCTTAGAGAGAGCTGTGAAGCACTGTGAAGTGGTATATAAGTCTTTGAAGAAAGTACCAGTAAGAGAAGACTGCTAAGAGTCAATGGCTGTATCAATCGTATACTGTATTTTGAAAAACGGGGATCAGCCACTCCTTATTTCTCCATCCCAGCCATTCATGATAGAATGTAAGGTATAACCTCAAATGATCTCAACATCTAATAGAGCCGTCTTCAATTTCTGCATCTTTTCTTTAAGTGTATAACTAAACAAGCTTCATGGCTCAAAAATATAATATTCCATTCTCCCCTCTTTATTTTACCATTTGTTTAAGCAGCATCTGGAGTGCTGAAAAGCTTGCCCACTCTTTTCTGAGGCTTTGGGTATTAAAGTACAAATAGTCTTCGACTTACGACCATAATTGAGCATTGCTAAGCAAGGCAGTTGTTAAATGAGTTTTGCTTCATTTTACAACCTTTTTGCCACAGTTAAGTGGATCACTACAGTTGTTAAGTGAACCATGTGGTCATTAAGCAAACCTGGTTTCCCCCATTGACTTTACCAAGTGCCCAAATTTATATCCTGTGATCATGGGGATGATGCAACAGTTGTAAGTGTGAAAACCAGTCATAAGTCACTTTTTCAGTCCCATTGTAACTTTGGTCACCAAACAAATGGTTATAAATCAAGGACTACTTGTATGTCATATCTCAAATCTGGAAATAGGACAAGCATAATCATTTGAGTAATTTGTGATGCATATGGGATAGTTGTGAATCACAAGTTCACCTTGATGTTCTCAAATTTAGTATCATTTACATGTTACAATCCATCCTAAACATGTTTAGTTTCCTTCAAAAGGGGCTTGATCCCAACTAAATTTGCAAAAGATTGATAGCTGTATGCAATAGTTTTTAGTGCAACTGATAGGTGCATGTCAAGGACAAATTGAACATAAGTTGTTGTGCATTACTACAGGGGTCCCCAACCCCCGGTCTGTGGACCGGTATCAGGCCGCAGCATGCCAGCAACCAGTCCGTACAAACAAGCAAAGCTCCATCCACGGGATTCAGGCAGCACACAAAACCACACCCCCTCTGGTCTGCGGAAAAACCTCTCTCCATGTAACCGGTCCCTGGTGCCCAAAAGGTTGGGGGCCTCTGCTTTAGTATATCTTCTTGTATTTATGAAAACAGGTTTATTTAAATCTGTCTTTGTTATTGCTGCAAGATAACTGCCAGAGAACCTTCGTTGTAACCATTTCATTTTTGTCTTCTTTTCAGCCTTTGCTTGCCGATACTGGAATGGGACGTTTATGCACATTGCATGAACCGGCCTCTGTTTCTCTCTTGATTGAACGATTGAAAAGTCACTTAAAACTCTCTCATATTCGTCTAGCTCTTGGAGCAGGGAAATCACTGGGTATATATTTACTTTCTCTTTTTGTGTTGGCAGTGGACTTTGGCTGCTTGCTACCTAAAACATTATTTATTTTGTGAGATGATGCTTATTAGGGCAAGAACAAGATGCATCTATTTTGAAGTGATTTGTTTGACTGATACACTCAGAGGAGCCACTTATAAAAACACCCAACAGTATTTCCCACTGACTGATTTAGGGTAAAATATTGCTGTGCTGTGGAATTAAATAAAATTAGTCTGGTTCAGCCAGACCAGTCATTTAAATAATTTGGGTTGTGGGGAGGGGGAGATTATTTGAAAGTTTAGCATATTTAAAATGTTTGGGAAAGATATCTTTAGTTAGACTAAAAACAGTAAGAGCTCCTTTTCATAGTGTGAGGAAAAAAGCAATCCACATCCATCGTTATACTTCAAAGTCTCATTTGATCACATTGTATTGTAATTGCACTCTTAAGATGCTAGCTTATGCTGCCTACTTTTGCCTAACAATAACTCACAGAGCACTGCCCTGTCTCAATTAGAATTAACTGCTCTGACCATCAGTTCTCTTTTTAACTGAAGATGGTTGAACCTGCTTGTTTGAGTCTGTAAGGAACACACAGGCTTGTGCACCAACCTGCAATCTTTAATCCATTACCCACCCACTCTGCATCATCTCAGGGAAAACAACAAGCACAAAAGTAACCACAAAACCTGTAGCACTAAACTACGCTATTGATTCTTTTTGTAGAGTCCTCAGTGAAGGCAGTTGCTCTTTGTGCTGGTTCAGGAGCAAGTATTTTACAAGACACAGAAAGTGATCTCTATGTTACCGGTAAGAACCTTTTAAAAACAGGATTTTGAAACAGCTATTTTCTTATAGATCAGAAATACCAAACTGATATGGTTGATATATTTTCTGTGTTAACATTGTAGAACTATTCACTAGCTAAGTTTGTCTAAATAAAATATTAATATCCCCCTTTCTGCAATACCCTTTATTGACTATTTATATGAAATATAAAAAACCTGGTTTGCTGGAAGTAATCCAAATTTATAAACTTAACTACAGTACTCACTGTGCACACAGAGATCTGGATCTGGGAAAATCTTTAATTTTCTGAAAGCCTTTCAGGTATTTTGCTGCATATTCCTGTTTTTCAGATATTTTTTGCATATGTAAGTCATTCATTTGAAGTGTTTTACCTACTTCATCAGATAGGCAGGTTCTCAGGATAGTTTTAAGGAAGACTTGTAAACAAATAAACCTCCATCCCAAAAGACCTTTCTCATTGCATTGTAGGAGAGATGTCCCACCACGAGGTACTAAATGCTGTTTCCAGAGGGATTTCCGTGATTTTGTGTGAGCACAGTAACACTGAACGAGGCTTTCTGTTAAATCTGCAACAAATGCTAGCTGTGCGTTTTATGAATAAGATCAATATCATCATTTCTGAAAGAGATAGAGACCCCCTTCAAGTTGCATAAAAGAAGCAAATGTTGAGAACTAATGTAAGTGTATATCCTTCAGAGACTTTAACAAAAAATATTGGCAAAAATATACTTTGATTCCTAATGTTTTAACAATATCATGCCTGGAAATGAGTAAATGGTTGAAAAAGGCAAAATGACTTTATTGTAGCTGAGAAAATTACATTTGAATGCTCAAGATTTTTATTTTACATTTTGAGAGTATCAAATTGGAGGAAAGCTTATATACAGTTACTAATTAGCAGCATTCTCTCACTGAATATTCTTTCTGTCTATACATTTTTAATCTGCCTCAGAGTCATTTTACTTTCCCCAATACAGTATCCTTGTCCTCTTTTCCTTCTCCGAGATAAATTTTGCTAGTCCCTTCTGAGGCGAATCAATATTTGTTATCCTAGTTTCTAACTGTACTTTCTGTATATTCATTTTTTACACCAGATTTGGATTCATTTGTCATCCACTAACATCAATCAAATATTTTCCTATATCATCCATATCAATATAACACATAAACCTCTGAAGCCAACGTTACCTTCAGGAGTGATATGGGAAAAGAGATGTTTTGGAAGAGTCTAGAAACAGTTTATTTTCAGTTAAAGGTCTCAGTATTTCAAAAATAGTTCTTCTCTAAGACAGAAATAGTTACATGGCATAACAGAACCATATAAAAGGATATAATTGCATGTTTGTTTTTATTCAGACAGCTTTTAAACAATTGTTAGGTAAGAAAAACAGGTTAACTGAGCATGTTTGCAGTAGTTTTTATTGATAAAAACAAATAACAGCTGTTGTCATACTTTTCAAATGGCTTATATGGGGGAATCTTTTGTTCCCAATTAAGGCTAAAAATGTAATAAACGATGATATCCACATCTCTGGTATCAATAGTTTATTTTGCTCAAGTCCAACCAGTTTCCTAACCCAATCCTTCCATCTCACATGACACACATTTGAAGATCAATAATGGTCTGCCTATAATGTATTAAATATACACCAATTAATAGCCGAAAAGCTAATGCCAATCACATGTATTATCAAGCACAAGTTCTCCAGTTCAATTCTTATTTCCAGATTTGTGAACAGAAGGCACAGTAGTATCAGTGGATGACATTTTCTTGGTCTATAATGATATAGACTGGCAAAGGGAGAAACCTGAGCAGCTAAAAATTGGCTTGGTTTATACAGCATCACATTCCATTATTACAGGTAGATTAGACTCCTGAGATCTGCAAAATGGCTAAACTGTAGGATAAAATCCAACAGTTCTTAACAGAATTGCCCTTGAATTTATGAGCCTTCAAACATCATTATCTTTTTGCAAAAAGTCAGCCAATATTCCAGCATCCACAGGAATTAATAAATATTCAACTCCATCAGCACCCTGAAAATAAATTGAGAATTAGCTTAGAAATATAAAAATGGTAATATTTTTTACTTATTTCCTCTAGTGCAGGGGTTCCCAACCCCCGGTCCATGGACCAGTACGAGGTCACAGCATGCCAGCAACCGGTCCGCACAAACAAGCAAAGCCCCATCTGCGAGACGCAGACAGCAGACAAAACTATGCACCCTCCGGTCCATGGAAAAACCTCTCTCCACAGAACCGGTCCCTGGTGCCCAAAAGGTTGGGGACCTCTGCTCTAGTACATAGTTCAATATTTTGTCAGGAGTAAAGTAAACTTATCCTTGTGTTTTATTTTTATAACTGAGAGCAATATTTGGCTTCTTTCAATAGCCTAATTGCAAAAAATATGGCATTTTATCTTCATTAGGAACATCCAATGTGATATTCTCTGGCTTTTATCAATGAAGCCATCATAATTCAACCTGGGATTCTTTCTCAGACATGGTTAAATAAGATGTAAGTTCACAACTAATACAAAGATTCTCCTCACTTACCCTCTTGGTCCGAATCAGCTTGTGATCCCTGAATTCTATGAGCTGAGCTCTAAGAGTTAGGTCACTATTGACCAAGAAGGCCTCCCGACAGCGTTGATACAAATCTTGGAAAGAAAGACCTAGTTAAAAGAGAAGAGGCTTAATACCAAGCATAAAAAATAAACTCTCATTTCAACACCAAAAAACATAATCTAATCTGTAGAATCCGATTCCTAATGTTGGTATTTTTTTCTAAAACTTTCAATGAGAAATGCACATATTAACTATTGTACATAAAATTAGTTTAAGACTACAGTAAAAAATGAAGAAAAGAAAGCAAGCCAACAGTGTTCAAGCTCAGAGTATACTTAGCGCATATATCAGACATGTCAAACACAAGGCCCGGGGGTCGGATGCGGCCCACGAAGTGGTTTCATGTGGCCCACGAAGCCATCCTGGAAACAGTGAGGGAACGGCCCCCTCTGCCTTGGCTCTGGCCCAAGCCAGCCGGGAGCCAATGTACAATTTTGTGGTGGCCATCTATGCTGAAACGCGTTCAGTCTTAGCTCCATAAGCCCCCCCCCCCCGCATGGCCTGAGAGGAACAGTGAGTCTCCTCCAGTGGGCCATGCCTTGGCACTTGCCCTGGTCCCACTCCCTTCTGCCAGAGACCCTCAGATCTATCCCATTCCTGACTAGGCCCCCACAGGCACCCTTGACACGAACGATGTAGAGCTGGTCACACCCACCCAGTAGGCCACACCCACTCCATCCACGCCCACCCAGTAGGCCGCATCCACCCTGGCCACACCCACCTGGCCCCGAGGACAATCGCAATGCTGATGCGGCCCTCAATGAAATTGAGTTTGACACCCCTGGCATATATCAACATGCATTTCTGATCGAGTCTAGGACAACTCACCGCGAGACAACATTGTATTAATAGTTTCATTCAGTTACTTTTATTATTGGTGACCACGTTTTCGTTGAAAGTATGTAATTCCTATATTTCTGGACTGACTTTATTTTATTGTTATTGGCCACGGTTCTGTTGAAATTTAAGTTTTGTATTTGTTGAATTGTCCTTCGTGAGTTGTTCCATGGCGGGTTGGCTGTGGTGAGTTGTCCCGTTCCATTCTGATCTGTCTGCATATACAGTGTCAATTTGCACATGCTCATTCTTTTTTATATTGTGATTTTACCCTCACATCAAACAAAGGTTTGTATAGTCAGTAATTTACAAACAAGAATTGCAAAGCCCATTTACTGTATATTCTGATTTGGGTATAATGGAAATTATTGCTCAGTCAGAAGTATGAAAAATACTGTAAGCTACATCATAACTTAAGATTAAGCCTGCACTAATCCAGTGGCTGGCTGCCCAAATTATTCTAAGCTATATTGTAGTTTGTTCTTGGCTTAACTCAACATAAGAACATATTCATGCTTTAGAATTATCTATAAATTTGAACCTTATGAATGTTCAACAAAGTTTGGATTTTGCATGAGCTCAGCCATTATTTGATCTTCATTTTCATAGATGTGTAGATACTTGACAAAAAGGTTATAATAAAGTAACTTACTATTTTTACACAGAAAAACAGTGTGCACCAGAATCTATCAATGGGAAAAAGCATTGAATTTTCCTACATTTATACACTAATATATGGTCAAAGACTTAGATGACCATAAAAACCAAGAGAGCGTGACTTGGCTAGTTGGTGAATTGAGGAAGTGAAACATAATGAAAGGAGGAAAACTATATTCCAACCACTTCCCAAACAGCTATTTGAGTGGGCTAATGAGAGCAAAATTTAAATGGGAACTTTGGATAGAGACAGCCATCTTCACCATTTAAATTGTGTTCCTTGTGAGGATGTGTTCAGAAAAACCTTACAACCTACAAATAATGAGATCCATTAGCCCAGGGGTCCCCAACCCCCGGTCCGTAGACCAATACTGGGTCGCGACATGCCAGCAACCGGTCCGCACAAACAAAGTCCCATCTGTGAGATGCAGGCAGCACACAAAACCACACACCCTCCGGTCTGAGGAAAAACCTCTCTTCACGGAACCGGTCCCTGGGGCCCAAAAGGTTGGGGCCCTCTGCATTAGCCCAAGCCCAGAATTGGTTCTGACTACAAAGCCTCAGACTGCCCTTAAATATTTTCCACTATATTCCCTAGCCCCATGGCTCCCAACCCTTGCTCTAGCCTGCAGATCTCTTTAATCTGAAGCTATACCATATTCCAAGCCAGAAAAAAAAACCATTAAAAGTCTCAGCCTGTTTATTAACAGGTAATGTTCAATGTCAGAATTCTCTACCAAACTCTTGTTTTGACAACAATACTCTATTTGAACACCAGAAACAAATTACAAATGCATGTTACCTAAATAGGAGGGATTGTCCTTATTCTCCAATTGGTACTCTACCAAGAGCCTAAAGATACCCCTGAAAAGAGAGACAACCATGTTAATATAGTTAAATACAACAAGAACAATTCATCCACATCCACTCCTTGTTTACTGACTAACGTCAATTAGAATCCATTTGCAAATATAACAGTAATAAAAAATTCATTTTCAAACTAATGTGAGCTTTTACGACCAAATTGCATATACCTGACAGAGAACAAAATGAAAGTAACAATGGCAAAGCTATATAAGAAAACTTTTATCCGAATGAGACAGCAACCAGTGATCTTCACAATGTCAAAGTTGTATGTTCACATAGTGACGATTTCACTTAACAACCTGGTCAGTGGAACAGAATTTGGTCAGTAAACTAGGAATGAGTGTATTTATCATCACTGAGGAAAACTGTTCTAAGAAAACTCCATATTCCTCATACAATTTATATATTCTTACTTTTATATTTTCTTTACTGGTTCCACTAAACATTGGAGTAACTCTTGCTATTCCATGCATTAGTGTAGCTGCCATTTTTTATCACTTGGTTTTACTCTCCCCAAAGAAAAAACCCTTTTTATATTTATATATTTATATAAACTTAATATATTATATATTAATTTTATATTTATCAAAATTTAGCCATTTATTTGTGTGCATGTGCACATAAAATAGAAATGCTGTCTACTTTTAAATACCGTACCTCATTGGTTAAAGGAAGCAGAAAAATGCAATAAAGCAAAATCAAAGATTTGAGTTCTATCTCAGCTATGAGATAGTTGGCTACTAACTGCCCCACTCAGCAAGTTGAAGGATGTGTGATGCCCTGAGTTCCTGTGAAGCAAAATATTAAAATATTTTTTCATAATCAGAACACATCTGAGTTCACAGGAACTCAGGGCATCTCACATCCTTCAACTTGCTGAGGGGGACAGTTATTCAGCACATTTGAAAAGCTCCAAGTACCCTATCCTGCACGGGGAAAACACCAGTTTTTTTCCCATGCCCAATTGCAATGCATAAAAGAATTATATTTTTAGTATTAGGCTTATATACTAGGGTTTTTTTTCTGTTTTTTTCCCTGTCTCGTTTCTCGCAAACTTTCTTACCTTGCATTAGAAGTAAGACTGCCGAGAACATGTGTGAGGGAGCTCAATGCCAAAGACCCCGAATGCTGTACCAAGAGTGAGTTCTCATAGGCTGTTTCTTCTGCATAAGGGCTGAAGGTGGTCGTTTCATACCACAACCAATTATACATACTTTGTTTTGCTTGATCCCACACTATGAGTGCAGAAGACAAATATCAAAAAGAAAGAAAATATTAATGCCCTAATGTTCCATAAAACTTTGGGAACGCTAACTGTGGAAATGGCTTTCCGTAACAGCTTTTATGACATGCCAGCATAGAAATGCAGACTGAGAAAGTAATTCCAAACTGTTACCTGAACTAAACTCTTTTTATGACAGATTATTGTTTGAATAAGGTCTGATACTAATTAGAAAAGAGCACATATTTTTAATAAAGAGGTGTGTTTAAGGGACTCATTTGGCTTTTGGATGGCAAACTGGGGGGTGCATTCCAAACAAGAAGAAAAAGAACAAAATGTAATTTAATAGGAATATAATTAAATTATTTAACACAATCTTATTCCATCACATTATTCTATCACAGTTTCAAAGCCTTCTGGAACTGTGACCAAGGCTTTCATAGAATTCATGAAAGCCTAGTCTCAATTCATACATCTCTGATAAATATCAATTACAGCATCAGCTGAATAGTCATTTCCAGCCCTTCTTATTTTTTATTAAAGAAATGATCCTGGATTTTCTTTATGAAGGGTCCTTCTAAATGTCTGTCAGAGGCATCAAGAGAATGTTAACTTATCCTATGTCTAGGACAAGAACTTTGATTAGACCAAGTCTTATAGGCTCCACCTATAGTGAGGGGAAAAATTATTTGATCCCCTGCTGATTTTGTATGTTTGCCCACTGACAAAGAAATGATCAGTCTATAATTTTAATGGTAGGTTTATTTTTAACAGTGAGAGACAGAATAATAACAACAAAAAAAATCCAGAAAAACGCATTTCAAAAAAGTTATAAATTGATTTGCATTTTAATGAGTGAAATAAGTATTTGACCCCTTCGCAAAACATGACTTAGTACTTGGTGGCAAAACCCTTATTGGCAATCACAGAGGTCAGACATTTCTTGTAGTTGGCCACCAGGTTTGCACACATCTCAGGAGGGATTTTGTCCCACTCCTCTTTGCAGATCCTATCCAAGTCATTCAAGGCTAACATTTGGCAGCTGAAACCTTCAGCTCTCTCCACAGATTTTCTATGGGATTACAGTCTTAGGACTGGCTAGGCCACTCCAGGACCTTAATGTGCTTCTTCTTGAGCCACTCCTTTGTTGCCTTGGCTGTGTGTTTTGGGTCATTGTCATGCTGGAATACCCATCCACAAGCCATTTTCAATGCCCTGGCTGAGGGAAGGAGGTTCTCACCCAAGATTTGATGGTACATGGCCTGTCCATCGTTCCTTCAATGTGGTGAAGTTGTCCTGTCCCCTTAGCAGAAAAACACCCCCAAGCATAATGTTTCCACCTCCATGTTTGACGGTGGGGATGTTCTTGGGGGTCATAGGCAGCATTCCTGCTCCTACAAACAGGACGAATTGAGTTGATGCCAAAGAGCTTGATTTTCGTTTCATCTGACCACAACACTTTCACCCAGTTCTCCTCTGAATCATTCAGATGTTCATTGGCAAACTTCAGACGAGCCTGTACATGTGCTTTCTTGAGCAGGGGGACCTTGCAGGCACTGCAAGATATCAGTCCTTCACAGCATAGTGTGTTACCAATTGTTTTCTTGATGACTAAGGTCCCAGCTGCGTTGAGATCATTGACAAGATCCTCCCGTGTAGTTCTGGGCTGATTCCTCACTGTTCTCATGATCATTAAAACTCCATGAGGTGAGATCTTGCATGGAGCCCCAGACTGAAGGAGAGTGACAGTTATTTTGTGTTTCTTCCATTTGCGAATAATCGCACCAGCTGTTGTCACCTTCACACCAAGCTGCTTGGCAATAATCTTGTAGCCATTTCAGCCTTGTGTAGGTCTACAATCTTGTCCCTGACATCCTTGGACAACTCTTTAGTCTTGGCCATGGTGGAGAGTTTGGAACCTGATTGATTGCTTCTGTGGACAGGTGTCTTTTATACAGGTAACAAGCTGAGATTAGGAGCACTCCCTTTAAGAGACTGCTCCTAATCTCAGCTCGTTGTCTGTATAAAAGAAACCTGGGAGCCAAAAATCTTCCTGATTGACAAGGGATCAAATACTTATTTCACTCATTAAAATGCAAATCAATTTATAACTTTTTTGAAAGGCATTTTTCTGGATTTTTTTTGTTACTGTTATTTTGTTTAAAATAAACCTACCATTAAAATTATACAGTAGACTGATCATTTCTTTGTCAGTGGGCAAACGTACAAAATCAGCAGGGGATCAAACATTTTTTCCCCTCACTGTTTTTTTCCCCTCAGTTTCTCCCATGACGCAGCCATAGAAAAAGCACAAAGCACAAGACTGGAGGAAAAATATCCAAGGATAACCATACAGAAGAATCTCAAAGATGCTTTTTCAAAAGGCAACTGGACTATGTTTTTTTTTTCCCTTGAGGAAGACGTTCCTTATCCAAGAAGCTTCTTCAGTTCTGACTCAATTCTGAAGTTTTTTGGATGAGAAGCGAAACATCTTCCTCAAGGAAAAAAACATAGTCCAGTTGCCTTTTGAAAAAGCACCTTTGTGACAGCCATGACCTGGATGACTGAGAATCTCCATAGACATGCAGAAGAAGATTTAACTGATGGAAAAATGGAAGACCAAACCACTGTCTTATGAATCTTAATTAAAGGAGCATGGTTGAAAAAGAACTAACGTAGATGCCATCTGAATAAATATGGGAGTAAGCTTTGCATCCATTACATGGTGCAAATTAGAAAGGGGCTAGCATTTCAATATTTACTGTAAACAAGGCTTGCATTTGATATACATCTGTTGCTGAAATTCTCTTGTAATGGCTCCATTAGATTTTCTACAATAAATTTACTATCAAGAGTTTTGAAATTCTATACTTTCAGAGTCAGTCTGGTGCTTACAGAGAAAGGCTCTAAGAAGAGAAAAGATGAGCAATTAAAAGGCTAGGTAATAGTGCTTCTCCAAAATCTACAGAGATCAAAATGAGAGCATTCTGGCTTTCTGATAGGTTTCAACAGAACTAATGGGAACCAGTCTGCCTTCTATGTTATGATGAAAATTTCTCTGTGTTGAGTACATCTGGAATGATTGAAATGATTGGGGATCTCTATTCAGTAGCTGAAGAACCTTGAAAATCAATGCCTTCAAAGTAAATAGAAAGTCACTGGAATTACTATTGCCTTTTGCATCATAATTTTCCATAACATCCAACAGGCTCAGAGAAATAAATACAGGATAAAGTGTATTACAAGCTTGGTGATGGGACAGTTCCCTATATTCATTGCCTTGGCTCTCCCTGATAGTAACCTAACATTGTATCTTGGAAGCAGGACTGAAAATAGCAAAACACTGTTAGCAGGATCTACTTATATGCTCTTTGTGTATGTTGTGCATAAGGTTTCTCACCTGCTTATGAAAGGATTTGGATTTTGATGTCTGATAATTCATGTCTGAAGATGTTAAATAAGCATGTTTCATTTGGTGGAAAAATGTTTTTATAAAGCCATTTGCACTGCCCTAAGCTTTAGGAAATGGATGTCATACCATTCATTTCTGACAGGAAATCCTGAACTGCAAACTCTTGGCAATGTATTTGCCATCCTGCCAGGTAGCCATCACTTGCTGAAGCTCCCCACTATCCTAGATGAAGGCCTACAATGAACTGGTTGGCTAACAGAGTTTATGAGACTAAACTGGCCATCCATTAGCCCATTCTATGGATGCTCCGCACACCAACTAGGTAGGGATAGATTAAAACTACTTAAATAAGTCCAAATATTTCTGCAAACTTATAGCAGACTTATAAGTTTAGTACTGTCATCTTGTAGGAAAGTAATGTCTTTAACACTTATTTGTAAAAAGACTTTATAAAAACACACTTGCTAAAATAAACTGATCTGAAACTGCCATTGAACTGTTCTTAGATTCTGCTTTACCAGTACAAAATAAATCATAGTCTCTTAATAAATCTAAATATAAATAATCATAATTCCACCATTGGTAATATGCAGAATAAAAAACAGTCCTAGAATGAATTACGTTTGTACAATGGGACCTATTACTACTATCTGGTATTTATGATGAATTTACACACAACATACAGTTTGAAAAACCCAGTAACCTACTGAGTGGTGCATTAATATGATCAATGGATGCTATGAGGTAGACATTGGAAAGCGAAGACAATTGTCCTAGGATTTGCTGACTTTTATCTCCTCTTAACATCTTACTGTCCAGGTTGTGGATGAGAAGATACAGTTCCGAGGAAACATCTGGCAAACAAGAAAAAAAAAAAGAAATACCAATAGTCAAAGATCAAAAATAGAATATATAAATAATGGTTACAGGATTGGTGTCTGGAATGTTTGATGCTTAGGTGAAAAAAAATGCCACTTTTTGAAATAAAAGTTTTTCAGAACAGCTTACGGACATTTTAAAATTACAATGAATACATAATCCATACTAAATCTTGTTTAAACGAATAGCCTATATTAAACCTTCTTTAGTTAAATAACATTATGCATTTAATGTACTTGGACAATTGAGCTTCATGATGGCAAGTTGAAAAGGGGAAGGCCACTGATTGGGATGAAAAGCAGGGATGAATTGAGACAGAAACCCAACGATACTAGAAATCCTCTAAAATTCTTTGCTGCTTGATTTCTGTCATTGTAGAGGGGAGGAGGGGGACAAGGGGCTTGGGGATTCCAAACCTATTGCCAATCTGTCCTTCCAAAGCAGGAAGCTCAGCATGATTGCTAAACCTACTGGATCAAGTCTCTCAAATTCTAATTTTTCTCTATTAAATGCAATTTAAATCACCTCGGATCATTAGTCACAATATATCAAGAATGTTTAAGGCAACAATACATAAACTTGTAGAATGACTGACCAGATAGTTTACCTTCTTTAAAACTTTTTAGGATGAAGTCCACCTGGTCCTGGGGGCTACGAAAGGTACCCATGTGATTCAATACCTCTTCTGTTATAGAATTCAAAATCTGGCACAGAACAATGGTAGGCCGTCATCTTCTTTTAACACTTTGTTTTTAAAAGATTCTTAGAAGAATTAAATCCGAACTGAAAACAAACTTTTGACCATTGTATCTACTTGAATAAATTATAACATTCCTGTACTGAAAGTGAAATTATTGTAGAAACTCTCACAAAATGTAGAAATACTTTTCACATAAACATTTAATAATAAGCAAAAGATTTCATAGGCTGCAGCTTTTATGACAGCCCATTTGGAGTTCTGGGAAGAAGGTTCTAGCAAAACTACGCCCAAAAATGTTGTCAAGAAAAGTGCAGGGACTTGTAAATCATCAAGAGTCAGGGCTGACGCTATGGACAGTAAAAACAAGTAGTTCCTATCCCAAAGGTACTTTTCCAAAAGGCAATTGGACTTTCTCGGGTTTTTCCTTGAAAATGTTTTGCTTCTCATCCAAGAAGCTCCTTCAGTTCTGAAGGGACATTTTCAAGGGAAAAAACCAACAAAATCTTGTTTTTTGGGAAAGCACCTGTGATTGAGAATCTCCATAGACAAGTACGGTAGTTCCTATGTTTCAAATTAATCCAATTTGCTCCTAAGAGCTCACTTTTCTTGTAAGTGGAATCTATAAATAAAAAGTTGCATTCAAAATAAGTCCACAACAGATTTTGGCTAGCTATATCACACAATATGCTAAACCATGGTTTAACTGTGGTTTACCAAAGAAACCACAACTGACTGGATGACAAAGCACTCTAAATTACAAACAGCAAAATGTAATTTAGCACTTGTGTTGTCAGAACCCAGCCATCATATTCTAGGATTAAGTGCAGAAAAGATAAGCAATTTGAGAAATGTAGTTAGTCTTCATTCAGCGATCAGTATTGGCTGCAGCAACTCAGTCGTTAAGTGAAACAGTTGCTGAATGAAACTGCAACAATGCTTATGATCTTATTTCAGCTTTCTTTTTCTTTACAGACCTGAGAAAGTCATAAATGTGAGAATTGGCTGTACAGCTGACTACCTGTAATATCGTTCCATCTATATTACTGCATTTTGTAGTAAAGCTTTTGTTAACTGATCAAAGCTAGCCGTATATCTGTTTTTTGCTTACTGATTTTATGGTGATGTTGGGGAAGAATCCATTTACCACAAGATGTACTGAATCCTGAAGAAGAGAAATACGAAATTTTTCCAACAGATCTCTTTTTGAACCTAATCCATATAGCACAATATTGAACCCCAAGCTGTAAGAAATAAAGAAAAAAAGTCCTTGAATATGACAAAACAAAGTGCAGTGCAATATAATGTACTAAAAATGCTTAGGCTGATCACAAGAACTTCTTGTTCTAAAAATGGGGTGTGTGTGCAAAATTTGTTGTTTTATTTCTGAGCATTACTCAACTGAAGATTTATTTTTTTTAAAAAAGGTCCAGGATTTCAGTTTATCAGTAGTATACCAGTTTTTTCTAATCAGACAAACTGTCAATTCTTTACCTATGAGCAAGTTTTCTGCTAATTGTCTATCCTGATTTTCTATCTTATGTATTTTCTTAATAGCAAAAGCTTGCCTTAAATAGGAGGAAAAAAAAGATCTGTATTCTGAATATCTAATGTTTTCTACATTTAATCAAGTTGAAGTGAGTTTGCTCAGCATTGAATCTATTTCATTCTGTTTACTGTTTTGACTTTGGAAAAAGTCTCTCAGTGAATATTAAACTTCTTAGCATTACAGGTCATCGTCTACTTACCACCACAATTGAGCCCAAAATTTCCACTGCTAACCAAGACAGTTGTTTAAGTGAATTTTGCCCCATTTTACGACCTTTCTTGCCACAGTTGTTAAGTGAATTACTGCAATTGATAACATGATTGTTAAGTGAATCCGGCTTGCCCATTGACTTTGCTTGTCAGAAGTTCACAAAAGGTGATGATCACATGACACTGGGACACTGCAACTGTCATAAATATGCCAGTTGCCAAGTGTCTGATTTTTTTGTCACGTAACCATGGGAATGCTGTTGTAACTTTGAACGGTCACTAAATGAATAGTTTTAAGTTGAGGACTACCTGTAGTTATTTTATATAAGCTTCAGGGTTGAACTGTGAAGTCCTTGATGCTCTCTGAGTTTGGTTTGCTATTAGACGTTTCGCCACCTAACTAGATAACATCAGTGTGAGCAAGTGTAGATTTTGCTCCCTGTTTATGAGCATTCATACAGAAAGAATAGTCATTCCTTGATAGAAGTTTGCCTACATGCAAATTTCTCCCATATGTGTGCTTTCTAAAGCATTTGTTGCCCTATGTGGTTCCAATAGAAGGAAATATACGTAGCTCAGGGTTGAAATACACACATCAAATTCTTCAGAAAGCATGCAAATGGGAGAAATTTGCATGTAGGCAAACCTCCATTAATGCCTATAAACAGGGAGCAAACCCTACACTCATTCATACTAGTGAGGTTACCTTGTAGGATGATGAAACCTTCAAGCAAACAACCAACCTTAGAGAGCACCAAGGACTCCGTGAAAGTTATTAAAAATAGAATTGCTCTGGAAGTTTATGAAGGCTCAGGATGATGCTACTAAATTAATGATAGTGACTGATGATTTTGGAGGACTTTGCTTATATCTGCTTTCGTGACTTGATGAATTTTAATTTTTACCATGGATGTTTTAGTGTATTGTTACTATATATATTTGTTGTAAGCCACTGAGAGTCCAGTTGATAGTGGTGTGCACAAATAGAAAAATAAATACAATTATCATAAGTCATGGCTGAAAGAAATATTTATACTTTTTCAATTATCCATGAAATTGTGCAGGCCTCAGTTCTAGGAAATATTAATCATACACAATGATGAAATATTAACTATATCCAACGATCCAGTTTTATTCAACAAAATGATTTCAAAGCATAGCTGGGGTGATTTATTTCAATTTATTCTCTGGACAGCAAACTCCTACTAAAATATAAGGGATACTTACTGCAGTTGCAACATCCATTTGTAGAAGAGGGATTTGTGTTGTGTCATTAACTTTTCACGTTCAGCAGCAAAAGCAACAGGTACGTCATTCAAGAGATTTTGTAGGGATTCCTAGACCATTTAGATTCATTGCAGAAATAAAGGGCTCATGAGTAAATGTCTAATTAATGATATAATGGAAAAGTTCTTAACTAATGGAAAGGCTTTGAACAGAATGATCTTCATTATCAGACATTTCCCATTCCTTCTCCATCTCCCTGCTCAGAAAGAGCTAAGGACTAATAGAATGCAATTGAAAGTGCTTTAACTATGAAACTATGATTTGATACCGAGTTTCCTTTAGGACTGTATTCCTCCACCAGAATTGGCTCAACCACTTTGATCATGCTGGGAAAAGCATGATTGTTCCATATTTTGGGGAGGTCAGGGAGGCCAAGGTCCAGAGTATTTTTTTGTTATCAAACCATTCCTTTTGAATGGGCCCTTCTCAAGTTGCTTTCCGGAAGTTTCTGAAAATAGAGCTTTTCTAGAGCGCGTTTGGGAGTTGATGCCAGATGCTCTCTGGAATGTGTGTTTGTCTATTTTTGACTGCTGGTTCTTGTACTTTTAATTGTTATTGTTTTTGCTGGGAGCACTGCAGCAGAATATAAATGTGATACACAAAAAGGAATATACAGCCTTTTAAAGGCATAAAGGTGTTTCACATGAGATGCAGGCATGTGTGCATAGAGAAGCTCCATCCTGGACTCATACATTACTCCTGTGATTCTAGCATCCATCTATGATGGATGAACACAACTTTCTAAATCCTCAGCAACCCCATTGCCAAATAAGGAATTCCAGTAGTTGGTTTACACATAGCATTGGACTAAACTCATAGATTTGGGAACAGAATGTCTGAGATACTCTATAACCTAGAGTATTTTCTTCTAGAGTCTGTTGAACTGCTCTAGAACAGCATGGTTCAGAGAATTCTGGAATGGTATGATAAAGGGACTGGATTCAATCAATGAATTCTGCACATCCTATTCAGGTATATAGAGAGCAGTAAGACTGCAAAAGTTGGTATAAAAAATTGAAGGAATACCTTTAAGTACTTGGATAAGATACTATGATTTTTTTAAAGTTTTACTGTATCGGGAGCCTGTAAGCTGCTTGATTGAGAACCAGTTTGGGGTAGTGTTTAAAGCATCAGGTTAGAAAATGGGAAACCGTGAATTCTAGTCTTGCCTTTGAGATATTTATTTGTATCCTACCTTTTATTATTTTTACAAATAACTTAAGGTAGCAAACATAGCCAGCATTCCTCCCTCCTCCTATTTTGCTCAGAACAACCCTGTGAGGTGAGTTGGACTGAGACAGAGTGACTGACCCCAAGGTCACCCAGCTGGCTTTTCATGGCTAGTCACTTTCTCTCAGCCTAAGAAGAAGGTAATGGTAAATCATTTTTTAAAATGTTGCCAAGAAAACTGCAGGGACTCATCAGTCAGTTGTCACATCAAAATCAACTCAGAGGGAGAAAAGAAAACAAGAAAAGAAAAGGCTGCTTGATTACAACACAGATATTTTCAAAAATTTCATGAGCCAGAATTTTAAAAAAGAATTTTTTTCAGTTCCCATAGACATCATAGGTAAGTACAGTATATGTACTTTCTCTGGCAAACTCCGTACAAGTTATTTGCCCATCCAGTTCTTTAGAATGTTTTTTTTTATTAATTCAAATCTAGTTTACAGTTCTGGGATTTCCTCATAATTTTTCCATCCAAGTACTAACCAAGTCCATTCTGTTTAGCTTTTCAAGTCCAAACAAAGTGACAGCTAACTACATAGAAGATACAACATTCTGCAGTATGTAAACTATAACTAGTGGTTTGGGATATTGGGTAAATTCTGATAAATCTCTTTCTCAGTACATACTATACCTGATCCAGTTTTTTTTTCTCCAACTTCTGCAGTGTTCGATCAGAGGTTAAAACTTTAGAACTGCTGTGTGCTTCAAAATACTCTTCTACCAAATTGCTCTGAAAATAAATATACACAGAAGAATAATTATTATCTTCTGGCAACATTAATTGAGGAACAAATTGATGGCTTCATTTCATAATCCAGATTCTAGAGAACTGATTAATGAAGTGCAAAATCTACTATAGAAAACAGGATATTGAAATGAATCTAAATTCCCTCTAATGATTAATAGTGTACCATATATACTCACGGATAGGCCCATCCTCAGGTAAGCTGACTAATGATTTTTTTTAACTAAAATACCATAAAAAATGTGCCACCTGCAGATATGCTGACCCTCAAAAATTTTGTGTATTAATTTTCACAACTAGCTTATCCACAGGTGATGAATTTTTCATCCTATTTTGGTTAAAAATTCAAGGGTTCGGTTATCCACAGATAGGCTTCTCCACAAATATATATATATATATGTATTTTTAAAAGTATCAGTGTATATACTCATGGATAAGTCCATCTGCAGGTAAGCTAAACCCAATTTTTGGGATGTATTTTGAAACGTAAAATTCTTGGCTTATTTGCAAGTTTATACAGTAATTAAAAACAAATATTTGGCATGTTATATTTTCACTTACAGAAATATTTAAAAAAACCTTCTTTCCATTCCATCTTTACTGTTTTATCTTTTTCCCATGTGTTTAATTTTAGCTTTTGTTAAACATTTTATATATACTATAGAAAAGATAGTAGAAAATACTTTGCTATAAGGATACAACTTATTTTACTTAGAGATATAATTAGGAAAGTAAACCAAGAACATACACACTAAATGAAACTTTGTGAAGGCATTTAGTAAATTTGTCTCCAGAATTTAGTCAGGAGAATTAAAGCTAGATAAACTAAACTGCAACAGGACACTTTTCCAAAACTACCCAGAGGAAAAATGTATTTGACGTATTTTTGAACACAGTGAAAACTGCTTCTAAAAGACCTTATTATTGTACTCATTGTACCCTGGAAACAAACTGATCTCTGAGCATGCTTACAGAAATATATCTCTTCAGCTTCTTAGCAGATGTTTCCTTGTTAGGTGGAACAGAAGAGGTTTGGGCTCTGATAGGGATTTTTGGAGGAACAGCAGATACTGAGCAAGCATCATCCCCTTCTTCTTCAGGGGTTGAAGCAGAAAAATCACTTTCACTATCAGAGCACATGTTTAAGGCTAAAAAGGAAAAAAAATAGTTTAGAATACAAGTAGTTCTTGGATTAGGAGACCAACAGTAATCATATTTTAGATTTAACATTAAAACATTAAGCCAGGACTGTGGAAAGCTCCTTCACTAAAAATCTCAACCTGGAACTGGAAAGCAAATTATAGGAAAAATATCTCATAATGTCACAAAATTGTGTTAGCTAGAACTACTATTTCTTACCTGTCATTCTTTTCCGAGTCCGGTGAGATAATTTTGATAATAAATCATTCCTTTTAGTCTGTTAGGAATAGCAAGTATATTAGATCCCATTCTTAAAAAAACATGTCTAAATATTCTATTTCCTGACAAAATAATCATCTAAATGCAAAAAATAAATTTTATTTCTAATTGTAAGGTCTCCTATCTCATTCAAAAGACAGACCAAATATTTTCAAATATATGGATGGTGTTTATATACAACACTATCTGTTAATCAAAATGGAAATCACACATGTATCTGATTTCCTTGGTACTGTGGTCCTCAACCGTTCCATCTCTGCAGACCGGCAGTGGAGACGGGAGCAGTGGCAGAGGGGAGAACGGATGGTTTCATACAAGCACCCAACACTTGTGCAAATGGAGCTTCATGCGCTCACCCACCGTTTGAGCGGCTTGGTTCCCAACAGGCCGCATCTTGATACAGGGAGTTGGGGACCCCTGCCTTAGTAGACCTCCACCTGTATTTTGGAGAGATGGGGGCTCTCCAATGCAAACCTGGCAGATGTAGTTAAATGGAAGGAAATGGGAAATCCAAATTCAACTATTGTATATAATTTTCAGAAAGATACCTTAAGACTGAATACATACTTAAAATATTTGAAAATATATTTATATCTGCAGAGTAGAAAATAATTCCAAGTTTACATCAATCACAACTGATATTTTTAACAGCCAAAAAATTTCACTCACATCTTTCTGGTCTTTGCTTGAAGAACATTCTGAAATTAAAAATTGAGTCATAGATCAGGATTTTGGGATTTTGCACAATTTCAAGTGTATCACAGGATTGTTTAAATGTACATTTCGGCTAAAACCAGAGATTCAGCCTAATTTAATATGCAGTATTACACATTTGTCCATCCAAGTAACAATTGTCATCAGGAATTTTTTGCCTTGATAACTCTATTGCCAAGGTTCTCCCTATATAAATTCTATGCTACTTACAGTTTATCTGAATTATAGAGATAACCCAGCCTTATAAATAATGTTTCAATAAATTTAGGTTTATATGCTGTTGGTTCAGACAAGGAATTTGGGAGCACAAGAATCAGCAAATCTGTAGGACCTGATACTAGCTTCTTTTAAGATGCAGCTATTAATCTATGCCACTTCTTCAACATTTGTTCCATAGTTACCTAATTATGGACACTGCAATCTATATTACCACTCTGCAACTGGAAACTATGTAATGGAAATAAGACTAAAAACTGAAGTCTTTGGAATCTGTATATAAATAATCATATACAGTAATATATAATAATTAGTATAGTAGGAAGTATATAATCATATATGCAGAATTCCCAAATGCCCTTTCAAGCAGTTGTTATGAACAATTCTCCAATTTTTGTTAAACATTCACAATGAACAACAAACACATGCAATATAAAATACATATTCTTGTCTACCTTATTTCATTAGAATGACTTTTTTTTAAAGCAAATTCTGTAATTCCCTATTTTAATCAAGTATCTAACATTTTAAAAACTATTAACCGAACTTACTACTGCTCATTTTTGGAGTGTTTGTTTTCTCCTCACACTTCTTCAAACTGTTTTGCTTTGCATTCTTTGCAGAGTTCTGAATTAGCTCAGAAACTTTAAAATAAAAAAGAAATATCTAATTAAAGCAGCATGTAAATATTACATAAATACTCAAAGGATAGCACAGACACTGTATCATGTACAAATGTATTCAATATCTAAAGTTACTAGCAATAGTAAATAATATGATTCTAACCAAAGAAATACTCAGGGCAACAAGGATATAGCTACCTATTTACCTACCTATTTATTTATTTGTATATATTTTACTGATCTTGATTTTCAAAGTCTTTGGTTCCCTAAGCAGTCTACCTTTTAGGAGTAGTAACAAAATATCTCTTTTACAAATACTTCTTCTGGGGTGTCACCCATTTATGGATTTTTCTCTGAATTAGTGTTCACATTAAAATCACTCTGACATCAAATGAAGACGTTTTCACAAACTATTTAATTGGCTTTAACTTGTGTGGCTGCCTAGTTTATATGATGCTGTTATCTTGTATTTTATTTGATTTTATCATACAAGTTTTAACTTGGATTGAATTTCCCGTTTTTTAAATTGTAAATCACCCAGAGCATTTTAGCTATTGGGCAGTTTAAAAAAAATAAAAGCCAGGTTTAGCTTTTAATTTTAAAACATTTCAATATTAACTATGTTGTGATACGTGCTGCATTTAGAACTTTCCAAACTTTTAGAAGCAAGCTGTCAAACTGTCAGGAATAAACGACCAGACCTGCATGTGTAGAGCTCAAACTAGGTGCTTTATTATTGTATGCCAATTTTACAGAACTCTTCGCAGACATGTAGATTCGCCTGGGAAAGACTAGGTAAGATTCAAAGGCATTCTTGTGTTTATGTAAAGAGTCTGTGCTAATTCCTCGATTGATCCCTCTTCCAGACTGGAATGGTTGCTCTCCAATATAAACTAACAAAAGACTAGTGTTGTGAAGTAGAGCTGTAAAGTCTCATCAGTCCAACAAAAATGACTAATTACATGTATTTTATACATATCCATGGAATCTGTTACTCACAGGACTGACAGACCTATGGATTGTGGGTTCAGAGCAGATTTAGGTTTTGTTTTTTTAAAGGAATCCATGAGAAAGCAAGCCATACAAAAGTATACAAGTACCCATATATGTAAAAGGAACAGAACATGAAACACAATACATGCCTCTCTCTGCCATCTTATTAGAGCGTTTTGGAGTTTGGAATGGAAAGACATCACCACCACTTGCGCTGGAACCATTCCTCATTGACTCTAAAAATATACATATCAATTAATCTTTAGAAGCAAGCTTTAGAGGGAAGTGGTAAAAGATTTATAGCAGTTCTGTGCCCAACAACAGATTATATCTTATTAGGAATATAAACATTTATTTTTAAGAGTGAATATGAATGTCTTATTTCTTGGTGGCATTATGTATAAAATATTGAATATTTTCATGCATAATATGAAGTAAAAATCCACATAATGTTGGCTGTGAAAATGTTGTTTCCTGAAGTACCTTGGACGTCTAGAGCAGTCACATAATCCTGTTCTTTAAAAATATCCTGGGTTTCCTCATCTGAGCTGGTGTCCAGATTTTTCATCCATTTTTTAATATCAAGTGTATGTGGAACACTTAACTTACGAACTCTGAGACCTGAAAATACAATAAGATGCTTAAGGAAAAATACATGATTACAATAAATAATTTTCATAGGTCTGTTAAAACTGATCATTTTCAGGGAAGCTATACATTCTAGAAAAATAAAGCTATATGATCCATTTTTGATAGAATGTAAAGAATACAAAATAATTGCTTTAAGAAGTAACATTATAAAGTTGACATTACAAGAAGAGTCAGTTGGCAAAACTTCCTGAAGACAAAACTTTATATATCTAAGTTAAAGATAATGTGCTGTTGGGAAATTGTATTTTTGTTATAAAGTTGCCCATATTGATGACATTAATGCCAAAGTTAACTTACTATGGTAAGATTGCTAAATAGTTCTGCAGCATTGTTTTGCTCTCACATTATATTTTTAGAGGATCAAGTGGTAATTAATTTCCCCAAGTACAGAAAAAAACATTGCTTTTAAAATAATGTAATTAAATATTTAAGCACAACAAAAATTATTCATATTTTTGGAAATTCCAGAATTAATATTACCTTATTCTAATAATAATAAAGTAAAGCAGCTAAAGATACCTGCACCCTCAGAAATATGCTTCAGAACATCTTCATCAGCCACAAATCTGACATTTAGGGCATTAATCCCCTTTATCTTTCGATTACTCATATCGAAGTATCTAAGCCAAAAAGAAAGTAAATTGATATATTCCTATCAAGGCACAAGTCTCATAGAAGTTTAATTTATTACTATGAATAGCACCTAAACCTACAATGCATATTAGGTCAGGAAAAAATATATATTATTATTACTACTTCTAGTAGTAATTACTACTATTAGTAATAATAATATATAATTTTTTCTTGACTTAATATGCATTGTAGGTTTAGGTGCTATTCATAATAATAAATTAAACTGGATTTTATAAAAGCTTGCAAGTATATATTTAAACAAGACATTGGATAATTTCCTTGCTGGATGTTGCTATCAAGAAGGCACATGTAGAATTCTAGATAATATCCTCATAACATACCAATGGAGTAAGGCAAAACTCAGATTTGGCACATTAAAATATATAAAACTCAAAACTAGTTAACTTTGAGCAGTCAAAAATACAACAATTTGTCTAGTAGAGTAAATAATGACTTGACTCACTAACATATGGGAAGACCAAATAAGCCTGTGGTGGTAGGGCCCAACTTGGCATCCTGTGTAATCTGGAGGAAACAAGGGGAAAAAATACAATTAATAGATATCATGAAATAATCAGAAAGGTTGATTTGCCACAGCACTGAAAGTAGGGATTGAGTTTCCTTATCTGACTAAGGTATGCAAAGCTTGTAAAATTATGTTATATTTTATCTGTATATTCCAATAATTTGATATCAATAACTGGAATATGAATTATATATACTTTTTGGCAGAACACTCCTAGTGATCTTCTTTGCCACCTAATTAAAGTTTTTGCACAAACAGTATACAATAAATGCTTGCAAAATGGAGGTAGCTAAAGATGAATGCAGAATGTGTAAACACATTCTATTCTTAAAACAATCTGACATTATCACTAAAGAGAAAGGTATATAATTGCCAGATGCTGCTTTGGAGATGAAATGGCAATTATTTTGGTATTACAGTACTTAACAAATTGTTCAAAAGTTATACAAAAATTCTGACTGGCTTTCACATCAATGTAAAAAGAATGCAAACCAATGTCATCAACTGAAGCACATTTACTTGGAAAGGAACAAGGGTAGGCAGTTATATTTCTCAATAAAGAAACAGAATATGATGCTAAAGCCATCATAAGAATATAGCACAGGTAGTCCTCACTTACGATCACAACTAAGCCCAAAATTTCTGCTGCTAAGCAAGACAGCTGTTAAGTGAATTTTGCTCTATTTTACAACCTTTCTTGCCACAGTTAAGTGAATCCGTGCAGTTGTTAAGTGAATCCAGCTTTGCTTGTCAGAACGTTGCAAAAGGTGATCACATGACCCCCATCATAAATACCAGCTGACAAATATCTGAATTTTGATCACGTAACTATAGGGATGCTGCAAGTGTGAAAACAGGTCACAAGTCACTTTTTTCAGTGCCACTGTAACTTTGAACAGTCACTAAACAAATGGTTATAAGTCGAGGACTGTCTGTAATACAATTCTTTATATACCTATTCAAAATTAAGCCCTGCTGTGTTAAATGGGACTTACTTCCAATAAGAGAAAGCAGGATTGTGGTTATCCCACTTTTCAGCAGTTGTGTGCAATTAAGGAAGCCCACAATCACAGTACATCATAAAAATGAACCCCCTGTAGAAATAAAAATAATTTAATCTGAATAAAGATATTATACTAATGGCCTTTAAAAAAGGCAACCTCAGAGCAATCTCCTGTGGAATTCACACGAGCAGCCTGCAACTACCCTGCAACTACCCGCGTATTCGAACTACAATTCCCAACATGCCCCACTATGGGTCGTGTCGGATCGCACAGTTGCGAGTTGCTTCTGGAACAGTGTTTCTCAACCTTGACCATTTTAAGGCATGTGGACTTCAACTCCCAGAATTCCACAGCCAGCATTGCTGGCTGTGGAATTCTGGGAGTTGAAGTCCACATGCCTTAAAATGGTCAAGGTTGAGAAACACTGAATTCTGGAAGATCTTGAAGCTACACCTCTTGTGGACTTAACCGTAAACACCTTCGCGTACAGCTGCAGGGTCGGAGGAAGAAAGAGTTCCCTTGATTGGTCTACTCTTATTTTGTTTTTTTAGTTAGCAGAGCCCGTGTTTTGTCCGTTGCCACCAAACCACCCAGAACAGGACGAGGCTCCTTTTAATTCCTCCGGTACTTGGCCGCTTAATATTCTCTCAGGCACTTGACAAGCCAGGAGGAAAGCGCCCTTCCTTAGCCTGGCACCCCCGCCTCCCTGTACCCAAAGCGCACGTCTCACCGAGCTCACCTCACCTCTTTACTGAGCAACAACTGAGTGACCAATCAATGCCTTCGGGACGTTAATTTGGGGCCGACAGTTGCGCTCTCGCTCGCTCTCTTTCCCCCCCCCCCCTTCGTGCGCGGAAGTCTCAACCACGCGTCCTTAATACTGAATCGTCTTTTCCCCTCAGCCGAGCTCCGAATTGTCACCCGGCCCGCCCCGCCCCTGGCTCGCCTGCGCGCTCCACCCAGTAACCCCGTTGCTCACCAGATCACAGCACCGGAATAAACGCGAGTTTCCCGCCAGCTGCCGGACTGCGACCCACCCTCTTTCTCAGGATATCGTGGACCACTCCAGGAGGCGGAACTAGCTAGCCTTCTGTTGCGCTTTGGCTTCCTTCCGCGGATTCGTGATTGGTCCTCTCTACAGCCAATGGTGAACGATTCCTCCCCGGAATGCGACGAGTTAGCCGGCGGTGACGTAGCCCAAATTCTGCTCTACAGTTGTCAGCGGGCAGGTAGAGAGCGCGGGGATGTGGAAGTCTTTGATGCGGGCGGGCGGAAGAAGATTCCTGGCGTTTGAACCACCTAAATTCAACAAATAAAAGTAGCTGGGGGCAGCTTATGTAGCAATCTTATTCACCTTTCTCAAGTCTGGATTTCCCGCTTCATTTTAGCTTTATCCCAGATCCATCCTGAAAGAGAAGTAGGATACAAGGGCTTTTATAAACCCAGAAACAAACAAACACTGAATCGCCTTCTATTTTAAGCCCCCATCTGCTGCCAATGGTGTTTGGGCTTCTACCTGGAATTTCGATCCAGTTTTTCCGAGGTTCCAAACAACATTTTTGGAAGAAAAGTCTTCATCGTGGTTCAGTCCAAGCCAGGGATAAACAACATGGTTGACTGCTTTAGAAAGGTTACAGTTTATTGAAGAGATCACAGATGGAAAGATGATTCTGGCAGAAAAAGGAACTAGCACATGTAGGGAGTGGATTTTTATACCCTCTGGAGCCTTTTGTTTGGAGTTATTTCCTGTTCCTGTTTGAGGCTTTGTATTTCCTGTGTCATGTATTTTGACCTGTGTCCCTTTGGCATCTGTGAGTTAATCCTATTATGTCCCAAAGGTCATATCCTGTTTCCCTGGTACTGGGGCTAATGACTCTTAGAGTTTGGGTGGGGTATGCAGATTTTAGGTGTCTTTGTCTTCCTAAGTTTCTAGCTGGGGCCTCCTACATCTGCATTTGTATGCTTGGGGAAGGGAGACCTGGGGCTATCAAGAAAAAATGGGCATGCTTTTCTGCTTCTTTAAGGTCCTTTGAGGAAATATATTTTCCTGCCCTTTTAATATTTCCTTCTCTGGGGAGCTGACTTCCCACAATTTTTAAGAAAAATACATTGACTGTCCCCTCCTCCCCAATAAATTAGACTATTCAAATAACAGCTTCTTTGTGCATCTGGAGGCTATGTTGACAGAGTAAAAAAGTAAAGCCTGTAATGTAAAAGAAAGCAGAATTAATCCAGATCTTCAGCATCTCACTGTCCTTTGGATCATGCACACTTCTTGAGGGTATCTTATTTCACACTCCTTGAACAAATCTAACTTGCAATTTACCTGATTTCAAAACCTGCCTAAGTTTATATGGGAAATCACTAGGAAAACCCATGGTCACCATTAACAATAAGTTGGCAATGACTACACATATTGTGACCAAAGAAATTATAGGGATATATTTATAGTCATCAGGAAGTCTAATTTGACTTCAAGGATGCCTGGCATAAGAAAAATTGCAATTTTATGATTTAGCAGAAGATGGCAGTATTGTTTAAAAAGATGAAGGTTTTTTCAAGTTCTACAAATAACCTGAAGGACAAATTATGCCAAATTAAAAAAAAAAGATAGCTACAGCGGTGTTTAAAATTTTGTGAACTATTTTGAATTTACAATGTTTCTGCATAACTATGACTTAAAACATGTTTTCCACACAAATTCTGAAACTAGATTAAAAAGATTCTAATTAAGAAAATAAATAGAAAAGTTATAGTTCATTTATTTGAAAAAAATCATCCAAAACTGCATATTTGTGCATGGCCAAACTACAGATTAACAATAAATTAGCCTACACAATATGAACAAGCATTGCTATGAAAGTAATATAAAATTCTGTTCAACCAATATTTTATGCTTAGTTTTTAAGGTATATAAATCAATATTAAGCATACCTCAAGGGAATGCCCAAGAATACCAATCAAAGTAGCTATAGTCACTGAAGAATATTAATTTGGATAAATTATACAATGTTGGATCAAGGATAATGGCAATGCATCAAATCTGAAATACCACATCTTATATTGATAAAGAACAGATAGAAAATGTCTTGTAAAGCACCATGAAAATATAGAGTTGGACAATTTAGTACAAGAATTTCTTCAAAAGTGACATTGTCTTTCATTAAATTATTGCTGACTTCATTTACCTCCATTGCTTTAGCAAAACCAAATAGATAAGGTTAGGTTATCTTCATCAGGCTGCCTTAAGAACACAAATTTCAGTCTGGCCTATAAAACCAATTTATTAAAAGTTGAAAACCTGGTAATTATTTAGTATGGTAATAAATCCTTCTAATATTCTAAGAAATGTATCTGAAGAATATGAGAGTAAAAAGATAAATCTTTTTAAAGTACAATAGACTAAAATCAAGAATGAAGAACCTGAGCTATTTCATCTATTTTGGACCTCAGATCCAGCATGGCTATTGTTCAGGAGAAAATAGATGCAGGTCCACATCTGAAAGGTTATTTTTCCCACTCCTAAATGGTTTAGGGTGGAGTTAATTTTTGGCCACTGGCAGATTAGAAGTTATTATAGGGCATCTATAGAGCATCTTCAATGCTCACCGTACACTTTTTGAAATAATATGGCTTTCTATATTGTGACATTTTAGATGGTTCTAAATCTGTAAATATTTCAACCACTATTTAACCCTTTAAATATTTATATTAAATACCCTTTGAAGAGTTTGCATATTGGAATGGAGTGGAATGGAATAGAAGCCAACATGCAAGTTTTAACAATTACATCAATAGTGTGCACTGACAATCCTCTTGCCTATTAAATTCCCAAGACATGGGAGTATTTAGAAGAGAACCAATACACAACCTGCCAATGCTTCACAGATTAAAATACTGCAGCCTGTAACATGTAAACCTATCAATGTTCTGTGCCAGGTGATAATAAAGATCAGGCCCATTATTCAATCATTTTTTTAGTAATTTAGTGCAAAACAAGTATTCTGGATTGTTACATAAAATACCTACTCAAAAGAAGCATGTTTTATGAGAGGAACATATGCTGTTCATGTAAAAGTATATTAGGGAAAATATGACAATGTGACAATTTTTCCAGAAACAGCACAATATTTATTTAAACACTTTTATATATACATATACATTCTGCATTGCAGATTAGTTTTAATTTTATACACCTGTATTTACAACGATTCAAAATATTATCTATCTCTGGCAGTTATTTACAAATTCAACACTTAACACAGTTCAACATTAACCAGATTCAGTAAGACAGTTACGATAATGGCTTACATGCACCAGTATAATGATCTTCAAAAATATGTCATCTGAGCTCTGTTAATAGTTTTTCACAGGTCCTAAGTTAGGGCCCCAATGCCACAAAGACTGCATCTTGTTTAACATTTCACCAGCACCAAATTTTGATTTGTTTCAAATATCATACCAACCTGCTGGTGGAATATTATCATAAATCAAGTCCTTTCGTCAAACAGATGTTCTATAAAATAAGTGGGCTATTTGTTAGCTATGTTTTTTGTAAATGAGGTAAAATAGGTTACATAATGCCAAGAATAGTAAAAATCCTTCAGAGATCTTGGTTTAGTAATAAACCTTTGTATAACAGATAATAATTGGTCAGATGGAAGGTGTGAAGAGAAAAGAAAATGATTTTGAAAGATGAGCTTATGTAACTCTTGTCAAACTAGCTAGAATCAAACATTATAAGTCAGGTTATCTGTTTACAAACATTAAAAAATTTACACCTCCCTTCACAACCAGTAGCTTGTTAGAAATCATTCAAATCCAAGAGTAAAGTTTTAATGTGACCAAGTTAAGTGAATCATCTTGTCTTTGAGATGACCTTGCAATAAAGAGATTAATTTCAAGCTTCTACAATCTACTTTCCAATCATAAGCAACACATTCAGAAATACTAATACTAAATACTAATGAGAATACTGTAAAAAGCAATTTCAAAATGAAGGCTAGCTAATTTGTGTAAAATTTCAAACACTCATGAATATAAATCATTTATACTGTATATCCCTCAGAATACCTATTGCAGATAATTGCTTAAAAAGAAAACTTTCAAATTAGTAACCATATATGTTGATCATAAATAAAAATTCAAGTGAAAACAAAATCAAAATTGATAAGCCAGTGTAAATTAAATAGGCTTTCCCCCCATTATCTACTAATTTCAAGTATTTTATATGTAAAATAAAGACACTGGGTTGGGTTAAACATGATAAACTATTAACTGCATGAATTGATATTATATTATTAATGCTATAATAGGGGTAATCTTGGTCCCATTTGAAGTGAAGCACCAAAAGTATTCTGTTTCTGTTTTCTAGTGCCAACAGATGCTGCAATTTTAATTGTCTAATATTCAGTGTAATCAACTTTTAAAATTAGGAGCAGAATTCAAAATTATACAGAAATGCTTTTGTACTCACTAATATTTCATAGGGTTGCCAGGTGTCCACTATTTGAGTGGACAGTCCACTTTTTTCACAAAATAGTGGACTTTTTTTTATTCAAAAGCTTTATGATGAAATGGTACGTAATCTAAAGCTGTACAGTCTACTTTTTTTACTACTTAACCCCCCCCCCACTTGTCCGCTATTTTTTGGAAGCAGACCTGGCAACCCTAAATATTTGTCTACCTTGCAAATTGTCTCAACATAAAACTGATGCTCCTTATTACAAATCATGGAATGACTATACCTTTGGAATCGTATTTCTGGAAAGAACAGTAAGCCAGTTTTGAATATGTTTTCAAATTTACAATATTTACTGTAGGCTTGAATATATTTAACAAAAACAATTTAAGGGCTTTAAAAAAAGTTATGCTCCAATCATATGGTAGTTTATGGAATTCCATACTGCAGCATTGACAATTCTGACAGTAATTTAAGAAAGGATGTCGTAACTTGTACCTTTTGTATATTTCATTATATTTAGATTTTGCATATAATGGAAATGGGTATTTGAATACATACAAATAACCAATTTTTAAATTCTCACTTGCTTTTTGAGAGAATTTGAGTTTGAATATATTATTTTCCACAAAATTTAAGTATGTTT